CTTCTCGTTTCGCTGTTCCAGCTCGGTCAGATTCCAGTTTTATTCGGGAAGTTCCGTGTTTTCCCGACGTTCCAGATTCCAGATCTCAGAGTTTGATAAACGTTGCCGAGTCGTTTGAGTTTGTTGAAACGACAGAAGCTCGTGCACGTTTACGAAGCGAAGTGAAACTGATGTTGTGCAACGATCAGAAAATCCACTTCCTGCGGCGGTTTTCGAAGCCGACGTCCCGACGCAAAACTCCATCATGTTAATTATTTATCGATTAAACGAGTTTCAGATTTTATTTCCACAAACGTTTAATCACGTTTAAGACAATTAGTCGTGTGTCCGAGATTTATCCCCAAAAATACAAACATGAAGACAAAGGATTCTCTTGAACAAAACAAACAGCTTCACTTCTCCTCTTTCTCTTCCTCTCCTTCTCTTCTCTTCCTCTCCTCTTCTTCTCCTTCTTCCTCTCCTTCCTCTCCTCCTCGTCCTCTCCTTCTTCCTCTCCTTCTCTCTCCTCCTCTTCTCCTTCTCTCTTTCTCTTTAATCACTGTTAATCTTTATGGCCACATATTAGAAGTGATCCATCATCCTCCTCTCCTCCTCTCCTTTCCTCTCCTCTATCTGTTCTATCTCTCCTCTCTCTCCCCTTTCCTTTCTCCTCTCTTCCCCCTTCTCCCTACTCTTTCCTCACTCTTCTCTTCTCTCTCCTCTCCACTTTCCTCTCTCCATTCCTTTCTCTTTTCCTCTCTCCTCTCCTCTCTCCTCCTCTCTATTTCCTCTCTCCTCTCCCCTTTCCTCTATCCTTTCCTCGCTCCTCTCCTCTCCTCTCTCCTTTCCTCTCTCCTCTCCTTTCCTCTCTCTTCTCCTCTCTCCTTTCCTCGTTCCTCTCTCCTTTCCTCTATCCTTTCCTCTCTCCTCTCCTCTTTCCTCTCTCCTTTCCTCTCTCCTTTCCTCTCTCCTCTCCTCTTTCCTCTCCTCTTTCCTCTCCTCTTTCCTCTCCTCCCTCCTCTTCCCTCTCCTCTCCTCCCTCTTCTTCCCTCTCCTCTTCTCTCCTCTCTTCTTTTCCCCTCTCCTCCCTCCTCTTCCCTCTCCTCTCCTTCCTCTTCTTCCCTCTCCTCTTCTCTCCTCTCTTCTTTTCCTCTCTCCTCCCTCCTCATCCCTCTCCTCTTCTCTCCTCTCTTCTTTTCCTCTCTCCTCCTTCTCCTTCCCTCTCCTCTTCTCTCCTCTCTTCTTTTCCTCTCTCCTCCCTTCTCTTCCCTCTCCTCTTCTCTCCTCTCTTCTTTTTCACAGTATTTGTATTTCCAGCAGTATTTTAGTTTGGTGAAGAGTCTGTGGTTCGTCTGAGCTCAGACCTGCTCCTGGTCATGTTCACACTGTGGAGAAAAGGACCGGAGCGACGGAGGGAGAAGGTTCAGAAGGTTCAGAAGGTTTCACAAACGAGTGCAGGAGAGACGGAGGAGAGGAGGAGAGGAAAGAGGAGAGAGGAGAGAGGGAGCAGGGATCAAACGTGTGCAGCTTTAGTGGAGCCGTTAGTGACAAAATGACTCTGTGTGTGTGTGTGTTTACGCTTATGTAACTCTCCAGAGTCAAACACTCGAGATAAAACCAAACACCAAACACCAGGACGAAACGAGACGAGCTCCGAGACAAAACCACCAGGACGAAAAGAAACGAGACGAAACGAGACAAAACCACCAGGACGAAAAGAGACGAGACGAAACGAGACAAAACCACCAGGACGAAAAGAGACGAAACGAGACAAAACCACCAGGACGAAAAGAAACGAGACGAAACGAGACAAAACCACCAGGACGAAAAGAGACGAGACGAGACAAAACCACCAGGACGAAAAGAGACGAGACAAAACCACCAGAACGAAAAGAGACGAGACAAAACCACCAGGACGAAAAGAGACGAGACAAAACCACCAGGACGAAACGAGACGAAATGAAACGAGACAAAACCACCAGGACGAGAGAAGCACAGAAACGACCAACTCAAGACTCACAAACACGAAAACACAAAAAACACTTCAACACATCAATTCCAGAAAATAAATAAACTGTATTTTCAGACTATAAAGTGCATTAAGAGAAAAAAAACGGACGACACTTCAGACCAGTGGTGCTCAACACGTCGATCTCAATCTACCAGTCGATCGCCAAGGTCGTGTGGGTAGATCTCTGTGTCTCGTCTCGGACTCGATCACGTTTGGACTCGGTCTTGTCTCTCACTCGAGGTCTGACACTCAACAAGTGTGATCATATTTCATTCCGGCCGCTGCTGTTGGTAATAAACTTGTAGCGGGTGCAGGAGCGTGTGGGGCGTCTCAGTGCAGCCTGTGCGCTCATTTGAAACCCGCGGAGACTCTACGGCGCATCACAAACACACACGCTCCCTATGCACGGCTCGTCTGCGACAGCGTGTGCCCTCGTGTACCAGCCTGCATCACAGGGCAGGTTCAACTTCCTAAACATCCTACCTGTCCACCTGCCTCACGTCAGCACGCCGCCCCTCGCCTTTTCACGCTCTCGCTCCTTCCTGCGTACAGCCAACACAAGCCCCTCCCACAGTGCGGCTGATTAGAAGAGCAAGACCAAACGTGAAGCAAAAACCAGTCTAAATTTGTGTTCCAGTGTTGGCACAAAGCAGGTCTACAGCATAGAGCGGATCTACAGAACAGACCTACTGCCACATTTGGCTGAAGTTTGTCTAACAAAAGTGACAAATGCATCTGTGTTTGTCACGATGTGCGTTTGGTTTGGTAAACGTGCAGAGGCTGGTAAAATATCACTGCAAAACCAGAAAAGAATGAAACTCCAGTTTGGAACTTTAAAAAACAGGTTTAAAAATCTTCCTTCACTTTTTTCACAGTTTTGTGTAAAGTGCCAGAGGAAGTTCTCTTAAAGAAGAGGTTCTCAAACTGTGGGGGAGGGTCCAAAAAAGGGCCACAGAGTGTTTCAGTGCAGTTTGTTTGACTTTGTATTAGGTCGATCTTTATGACTTGGTCATTTTGTAAGTAGCTCACATGATGAAAAAGTGTGAACACCTCTGATGTAGACTGATCCACGTATCATTCGTTCATTTGTTTTTCAAAATAAAACCAAAAATAAGAAAACGGAAAAAAAATTAACAATTTTCTTCATTATTTGTCTCCAAAACCAAAATGAAAAAAAAACAAAAACAACAGATAATGGACTAGACCAGGACTGAAACAGGACTAAACCAGGACTAAACCAGGACTAAACCAGGACTAAACCAGGACTGAACCAGGACTAAAACAGGACTAAAACAGGACTAAACCAGGACTAAAACTGGACTAAAAGGACTAAACCAGGACTAAAACCAGGACTAAAACCAGGACTAAACTGGACTAAACCACTAAAACTGGACTAAAACAGGATTAAACCAGGACTAAACCAGGATTAAACCAGGACTAAATCAGGACTGAACCAGGACTTAACCAGGACTAAAACTGGACTAAAACTGGACTAAACCAGGACTAAAACTGGACTAAACCAGGACTAAAACTGGACTAAACCAGGACTGGTGGTGGTGTTTAGTCTTTGGGAAAATGAGTCCTTCCAGAACCAGGTGGAGAACCAAAGAACTAAAACAAAACTACTAAAGTAAAGTTCTAGTAAAAGTCCAAACACTAAATGATAAAAAATAAAAATAAAAGACTAAAGGCTCCAAATCAGTTTTCAACCAGGTCTAAAAATAGAACAGAACCCGCAAACTAAAGTTCCAGGTCAGATCTGTGGAGAGGCGACGCCGCTCACACTCAGAATGTTTGTTTTTCTAGGTCATTTTGAGCTTTAAAAACACTTGTAATTGAATAAATGTAAAGTAGAGCTGTTTAAAGTCACACTGCGGAACATTCTAGTTAAAGCAATGACATCTCCACGGAAACAAGCAGGAGAAAAGTTACACAGTGCACCTTTAAATGTGAATTCTGTTTGTTTAGGGAGCAGTGTGACCTGTAACGATAACAAGTGTTGTGAAGTTTACTTTTAAAATGTAATCCCCTACAGATTACAGATTACACACACCAAAATGTAGTTTGTAACAGAATCCATTAAATTACTTAAAGTGAGTAATGTAATCTGATTACTTTGGATTACTTGATTTGCTGTAGAGAAACAAAGACGAGGAAATCTTCACATAAGAAGTTTTGTCTGATAAAAGAAAATAAAAAGTCCAGACTTTACTTAGTCCTGGTTTAGACCTGGTTTAGACCTGGTTTAGACCTGGTTTAGTCCTGGTTTAGTCCTGGTTTAGTCTGGTTTAGTCCTATTTTAGTCCTGGTTTAGTCCTGTTTTAGTCCTGGTTTAGTCCTGGTTTAGTCCTGGTTTAGTCCTGGTTTAGTCCTGGTTTAGTACTGATTTAGTCCTGTTTTAGTCCTGGTTTAGACCTGGTTTAGACCTGGTTTAGTCATGTTTTAGTCCTGATTTAGTCCTGGTTTAGTCATGTTTTAGTCCTGGTTTAGACCTGGTTTAGTCCTGGTTTAGACCTGGTTTAGTCCTGTTTTAGTCCTGTTTTAGTCCTGTTTTAGTCCTGTTTTAGTCCTGGTTCAGTCCTGATTTAGTCCTGTTTTAGTCCTGTTTTAGTCCTGTTTTAGTCCTGTTTTAGTCCTGGTTTATTCATGTTTTAGTCCTGGTTTAGTCCTGGTTTAGTCCTGATTTAGTCCTGATTTAGTCCTGGTTTAGTTTCTGGCAATAAGTGGAATTACCAGGAAAAAAAAAGTGAAAACAGGAAAATCCCGCCTTTACTCATCATTTGTACTCTGATTACTTCACTCCGGTCCATGTAATCTGTTACTCCCCAACACTGACCACTGACCAAACAAGCAGGTGAAAAGTTACATAATGCACCTTTACACGTGAGTTCTGTTCGTTTAGTGTTTTCAGTGTTTTTTTTAATTCTCGTTAGCAGCGGCGGCGTTTAAAAAGGAAATGAAAGTGGTGGGGATTTTGTGCTTTTGGTTTTACTGGGGCAGAGTTCAGAGCCCAGCCCTAAAAAAAACAACTCTGTGTTTATCAAGAGAGCAAAGATCAGGAACTGCTCAGTCCAGGTGCAGACGGAGGAAGAAGGATCCACACCTGAGCGACGCTTTCGGAGCCAAAACAACAACACAAACACGAGAAACACGAGAAAAACGAGAAGAAACAGACTAAGAGTTTGTGGATCAGCTCTGAGTTTTGGTGAGTCGCAGTGACACTTTATTATATTTTACCGTGAAGTTTGATTAAAGAAGAAACCGCAACACGATTTAATCATTATTTAGGCTCGTTTTGGACATGACTAAATGCAGAAATACTTCATTTTTTTTCATTTTGTGTTTCATTTCTGTTTTCTGACTCGTCCCCGGTTTATAAACTCAAACCGAACGCGGATGTGAAAAACCTGAAAAACCACAAACCGACGAAAACACCCGAACACGTGAACTGGACTTTCTACGGAATCGAACGGAAACTGAACGGAAATAAGTTAATATAAAACAAAAATAATTTAACGTTCACGAGCTGAGTGAGTGTGGCAGAAGAGAAAGTGAAAGTGTCACAGACGAACGCGACGGGATCCAGGTTTGGGTAACTCGACGTACACATTTTTAATATTAGATCAGATCAGAGTGAGGCGCCGATGAACACGACTGTGGGTTTTTAGTCCAAACACAAATGTGCATCAGTCAAAACAATAATTATATTTAGATTTGAAACGTAAAAGGGAGAACGTGACAGCGACAGAGGTGAGGAATGTGGCCACACCGGCTCAGCAGCGGGAACCGGCCTGGCAGCGCTGGGACGGGAAACACCGGGGAATACCGTGAGAAAAACTGTGGGGAATACCGTGGGAAAAACTGGGGGGAATCGCGGGTAATACCAGGTGCACAGTGGGGCGTGCACCTTCTAACCCGACTGTATCGTAAACAATACCTGGGAGTATGTTTTATGGAACCGCACAGAACTTTCCAACCATAAAAAACAGAAAACAACTTTTATTTTTTTCTTGAAAAGCTGAGAGCTGCAGGTTTCCAGGCACATTCCCGGAGTGAGTCGACCTGTAACGATAACAGATTTTGCTGGACGATTAATTGACCAAGATTTTATTGCGATAAATATTATAAGATATTGACATTTTGAGACCAATGTATTCAGTTACAGTTACTGTTTCAGTGAGTGGTAATTGGATTACAGTTACTTTGCTGAAATAAATGGATTACACGGCAGGATTTTCCTGTTTTCACTTTTTTTTTTTTTTTCCCCGGTAATTCCACTCATTGTCGGACATTAAACCAGGTCTAAACTAGATCTAAACCAGGTCTAAACCAGGTCTAAACTAGATCTAAACCAGGTCTAAACTAGATCTAAACCAGGTCTAAACTAGATCTAAACTAGATCTAAACCAGGTCTAAACTAGATCTAAACTAGATCTAAACCAGGTCTAAACTAGATCTAAACCAGGTCTAAACTAAACTAGATCTAAACCAGGTCTAAACCAGGTCTAAACCAGGTCTAAACCAGGACTAAACCAGGATAAACCAGGACTAAAACCAGGTCTAAACCAGGTCTAAAACAGGATTTAACAGGACTAAATCCTGCTGTGTGGACGTGTTTCTTCTTCTTCTATCAATAATATTTTTAATTTGGTTCAGTAAAATCTGGACTTTTTATTTTCTTTTATCAGACAAAACTTCTTATGTGAAGATTTCCTCGTCTTTGTTTCTCTACAGCAAATCAAGTAATCCAAAGTAATCAGATTACATCACTCACTTTAAGTCATTTAATGGATTCTGTTACAAACTACATTTTGGTGTATGTAATCTGTAATCTGTAGGGGATTACATTTTAAAAGTAAACTTCACAACACTGATCATGTCACTGTTTTTTGTTTTGTTTTTTATGACTCTGAAAATCCAGTGCGGTGACACATTTTCTTCGGTCTCATTGTGGTTTTAGAGACAAAATGGATTCCAAGCTGGAGGAGGACCTGACCTGTCCCATCTGCTACCGGCTCTTCAGGGATCCTGTGGTTCTGTCGTGCAGCCACAGCTTCTGCGAGGTCTGTCTGCAGGTCTGGTGGATGGAGAAACCCGTAAGGACGTGCGCGGTTTGTAAGAGAAAGTCCTCGCAGGCCTTTCCTCCGATCAGCCTGGCCCTGAGGAACCTGGTGCAGACGTTTGAGGAGCACAGGGGGAAGGTACCGTCAGAGCTCCTGTGCGGCCTTCACTCGGAGCAGCTCCGGCTCTTCTGCGTGGACCATCAGCAGCCGGTGTGTCTGATCTGCAGAGACTCCAGGACTCACAAAGACCACAGGTTCAGTCCCATGGAGGAGGCGGCCGAGGACCTGAGAGAACATCTGAGGACGTCCATCAAGACTCTGCAGGACAAACTCCAGGTACAGGTCCTCACTTCTAGGGTTAGGGTTCATGTTTCTGTTTGTTATTACCGTATTTTCCAGACTATAAGTGCCTCCGGAGTATAAATCTCACCAGCCAAAAAATGTGTAATGAAGAAGAAAAAAACATATAAGTCGCACTTTTTGGGGGAAATGTATTTTATAAAATGAGAGACGAGGAACCGACATTTCGTGTGTAAAGTCAAGTTCTAGTAAAAAGAATAGAAGAGAGAACAACAGACTGTTAACGTCACATATGAACAGTGTTTGGAGTAAAGAGTTACTGTGCTGCGTTGCTTTTTGCTGTAACGCAGTAAAGTGGAATTACAGCGGGAAAAAAAATTAATATTTTACTGTGTACAAATGTGAGTATCGCGCATCACAAAGCTTTTTTAACCTGGATTCAAGTGGTGGGTTTTTCGTTTTTCTTCGTACAAATTCGCTAAAATCACGGCGATATCAGCAGCGGTGAAACACCGGAGACACGCCCACGTAGACCGTCAGGTGACCACGAGCAAAAGGACCAGCGCATACAGACACCCTGTCTGCAAGGCACTTCCAAGGTCTAGTCCAAGCTTAATCCTGGTTTAGTCCTGGTTCAGTTCTCGTTTAGTTTTAGTTCAGTCCTGGTTTAGACCTGGTTTTAGACCTGGTTTAGTCCTGGTTTAGTCCATATACGGCGCAAAAGTTCAGCAGTTATTTTGGTGAGAGTAACTTAAAAGTGCTGCAGTAGTTGTGTATTTATTGAAGTGCAAGACGTCGGCAGTTCAGTCCTGGTTCAGTCCTGGTTCAGTCCTGGTTCAGTCCTGGTTTAGACCTGGTTTAGACCTGGTTTAGTCCTGGTTCAGACCTGGTTCAGTCCTGGTTCAGTCCTGGTTTAGACCTGGTTCAGTCCTGGTTTAGTCCTGGTTTAGTCCTGGTTTAGACCTGGTTCAGACCTGGTTCAGTCCTGGTTCAGTCCTGGTTTAGTCCTGGTTAAGACTTGATTTAGTCCTGGTTCAGACCTGGTTCAGTCCTGGTTTAGTCCTGGTTCAGTCCTGCATCAGTCCTGGGTCAGTCCTGGTTTAGACCTGGTTCAGACCTGGTTCAGTCCTGGTTCAGTCCTGGTTCAGTCCTGGTTTAGACCTGGTTCAGTCCTGGTTTAGTCCTGGTTTAGACCTGGTTCAGACCTGGTTCAGTCCTGGTTCAGTCCTGGTTTAGTCCTGGTTAAGACTTGATTTAGTCCTGGTTCAGACCTGGTTCAGTCCTGGTTTAGTCCTGTTTCAGTCCTGCGTCAGTCCTGGGTCAGTCCTGGTTTAGACCTGGTTCAGTCCTGGTTCAGACCTGGTTCAGTCCTGGTTAAGACTTGATTTAGTCCTGGTTCAGACCTGGTTCAGTCCTGGTTTAGTCCTGGTTCAGACCTGGTTCAGTCCTGGTTCAGTCCTGGTTAAGACTTGATTTAGTCCTGGTTCAGACCTGGTTCAGTCCTGGTTCAGTCCTGGTTTAGTCCTGGTTTAGACCTGGTTTAGACCTGGTTAAGACTTGATTTAGACCTGGTTCAGACCTGGTTTAGTCCTGGTTCAGTCCTGGTTTAGTCCTGGTTCAGTCCTGGTTCAGTCCTGGTTAAGACTTGATTTAGTCCTGGTTCAGACCTGGTTCAGTCCTGGTTCAGTCCTGGTTTAGTCCTGGTTTAGACCTGGTTTAGACCTGGTTAAGACTTGATTTAGACCTGGTTCAGACCTGGTTTAGTCCTGGTTCAGTCCTGGTTTAGTCCTGGTTAAGACTTGATTTAGACCTGGTTCAGACCTGGTTCAGTCCTGGTTTTGTTTGTTGAATCCATATCAAGTTTAAATATCGCCGACCCCTAACACACACAGACACTGTCAGACTCACACGTGTGTCAGGACCCACACACCAGAGAGCCGCTTCTGTCTGATTCACTCTGACTCTTTGTGCAGGTTCTGACGGGGACGAAACATCATTTGGAAGACGCGGCGGCTCACATCAGCGCCCAGGCTCGACAGACGGAGGCACAGATCCGACAGCAGTTTAAGACGCTGCACCAGTTTCTGCTGGACGAAGAAGACACCAGGATGAAGGACGTGAGGGAGGAGGAGGAGCAGAAGACCCAGAGCATGAAGGAGAAGCTGGACGCCGTGAGCAGAGAGCTGGAGACCGCGTCCACGACCATCAGAGAGGCCGAGGAGCAGCTGAGGGCCACGGACGCCTCCTTCCTGCTGCAGTACAAGTCGACGGCGGAGAGAATCCGGCGCCACCTGGAGGGCGAGGAGACGAAGATGGAACGCGGGGCTTTGCTGGACCAGGCCAAACACGTGGGCAACCTGGGCTTTAACATCTGGAGGAACATGAAGACCGCGGTGAGGTTCTACCCCGTCATTCTGGATCCAAACACGGCGGCGCCCGAACTCGTCCTGTCCGAAGATCTGAGCTCGGTGAGGAGGGGGACGACGCAGAAGCTCCCGCAGAACCCGGACAGATGCACAGACCACAACGTGTTCCGGTCTAAAGTGTTTCGGTCGGGGACTCACAGCTGGGACGTGGAGGTCGGGGACAACAAACGATGGTCCGTGGGCGTGAGCGGACTGGTCCTGAGGGACGGGCGGACCGAGCCCGGAGGTTGGTTTATAAGTTTCAGTAACGGAGAATACTCGGCGTGTTCCCACCCGGACCCGGTCACGCCGCTGCCCGTGACCAGTCTGCAGAGGCTCAGGGTGAAGCTGGACTTTAACGAAGGGACGGTGATTTTCAGCGACCCCGACACAAACGCCGACCTGAGCGTCTTCACGGGCGCCTTCACCGACGGACTCATCCCGTATTTGTTCACAGAAGACGACAACATCCCGCTGAAGATTTTACCAAAGGACGCCATCGTGAAGAGGAAATACTGAAACTTTAAAGGCTGTATAGAGGATTTTTTAAGGGAAAAGAAATACAGCGACAATCCTTTTACAAATGTTGTGCATGCGTGACACCACCTTCCTCCTCCACAGCTCGTTTACAGCCAGTGCGCGTTCAGAATTACTGTTGAAGTGACCTGTCTAGAAATTATTTTTTTAGACAGTTTTTAGACCCTTTGTCTGCTTCATTCATGCAATCGCTGGAAGACACCTCCACGAATCACCTCAGTTTGGCTTTGCTCCTTTTCCCCTTCTCTTCTTCTTTCAGCGACCTCAAAAACTGACTTTCTTTTGCGGTGAACTGGTCGTGGATTCTCGTCCGCCATCGCAACAAACTTTGTGCAAACTGCGAGGAAGTACAGTTTAAAAAAGCCTCTAAGAACCGCTGCATAAACCACTTAATCCCCAAGCACTGGCAAGTCAGTTACACTAGGGAGTTTGATTGACAACCTAACAGCCAATAGAAAATGAGGGAGCCTGGTTTTCTATTGGCTGATTTTCTCTGGCTTCACTACGTCCACAGTTGATAGATTTTCATTCTTATTATAATTTTTTTTTTTTTTTTGGTCATAATAATTACAAAGCTGCTGCATCTCTGTAATGGAATTTAAACTTTCATTGACGATTTGAAACAAACAAAAAAAATCCTCCATACAACCTTTAAGAGTAAAGGTATGCAAAAATATTGAACTATCGATATATCAAACCGTTTAATGTGATGAAACAGTATTGATATCGTGGGCTGCTGTATCGATATATCACCAAGAGTATTTTTGATATATTTTACTAAATTATTTTGTTACAGTTGTACAGTTTTTGATGCTTGTTTTGAGGAAGGAAACTCATTTGACATTTTCACAGTTTTAAATGTTTGTGTTTCATATGAACTTTGCAAAAGAAGTGGTTTAACAAAGTCTTCTAGTGTCACAGCTGTGATTTAGACTTTATTTTTTACTGAAGCACATCAAATCGATTTGAAATTTGATTTGAATCAATTTGAACAGAAATCGAACAACATCCCAGCTGCAATAAGACCAAGTTTACACTGAAACGAACCTGCATAAAAAAAGCCTTTGTCAGATATTTTTCTTGCTTTGGGTGTGCTGTGGTCCAAAGTAAGAAAAATATCTGACAAAGGCTTTTTTCTGAAGAAATGTTATTTTGAAAATTAAAAAGCTTTTGGACATCGGCCATCTGAGTGTGCTGTGCGTTTGTTCACTTTTGTCTTGCACAGTAACGTCACATTGTTGAACTACACTGTGGAAATGTCTCACACACGTCTCATTTCATAAACACGTCTCATGATATAAACACGTCTCATTTTATAAACACGTCTCATTTTATAAACACGTCTCATTATATAAACACGTCTCATTTTATAAACACGTCTCATTTTATAAAACGTGTCTCATTTTATAAACACGTCTCATTTTATAAACACGTCTCATTTTATAAACACGTCTCATTTTAAACACGTCTCATTTTATAAAAACACGTCTCATATAAACACGTCTCATTTTAAAAACACGTCTCATTTATAAAACACGTCTCATTTTATAAAACGCGTCTCATTTTATAAACACGTCTCATTTTATAAACGCGTCTCATTTTATAAACACGTCTCATTTTATAAACACGTCTCATTTTATAAAACACGTCTCATTTTATAAACACGTCTCATTTTATAAACACGTCTCATTTTATAAACACGTCTCATTTTATAAAACACGTCTCATTTTATAAAACGCGTCTCATTTTATAAACACGTCTCATTTTATAAAACGTCGTCTCATTTTATAAACGTCTCATTTTATAAACACGTCTCATTTTATAAAACACGTCTCATTTTATAAACACGTCTCATTTTATAAACACGTCTCATTTTATAAAACACGTCTCATTTTTATAAACACGTCTTTTATAAACACGTTCTCATTTTATAAACACGTCTCATTTTATAAACACGTCTCATCATTTTATAAAAACACGTCTCATTTTAAACACGTCTCATTTTATAAACACGTCTCATTTCATAAACACGTCTCATTTTATAAAAACGTCTCATTTTATAAACACGTCTCATTTTATAAACACGTCTCATAAACACGTCTCATTTTATAAAACGTGTCTCATTTTATAAAACGCGTCTCATTTTATAAAACACGTCTCATTTTATAAACACGTCTCATTTTATAAACACGTCTCATTTTATAAACACGTCTCATTTTATAAAACACGTCTCTCATTTATAAACACGTCTCATTTTATAAAACACGTCTCATTTTATAAACACGTCTCATTTTATAAACACGTCTCATTTTATAAAACGTGTCTCATTTTATAAACACGTCTCATTTTATAAAACACATAAAACACGTCTCATTTTATAAAACACGTCTCATTTTATAAACACGTCTCATTTTAAAAACACGTCTCATATAAAACACGTCTCATTTTATAAACACGTCTCATTTTATAAACACGTCTCATTTTATAAAACACGTCTCATTAAACACGTCTCATAAACACGTCTCATTTTATAAACACGTCTCATTTTATAAACACGTCTCATTTTATATACACGTCTCATTACAATCATCCACCTCGGCTTTGACTGAACAGCGCCCCCGTGTGTTCACTCTGATCGGGTCACAGCTCTCGCACACAGACTCAGTGGACTGGGCGGAGTGTTCAGTACCTGGTTGAAGCAGATCTTTCCGTTCTTGAGGCTCTGGGCGCTGCTCCTCCAGGTCTGACCGAAGAACTGCTGCTGCCTCGCGTCCAGCAGAGACGCCCTGAGCTCGTAGGACACCTGTGCGCCCTCTGCTGGCTCCTGCGGACATTTACACAAACAAATTTAAACTAAACGTAAAAATACTGTAGAGTTTTGTATTCTGACTGACTCCTGCTTCTGACAGTTTATACTTCACTGTGATTGGTTAAATCCACCTGTCACTCAGGACAGTTTTACTATAAAACTGTGTGTGTGGTGTTTTGTTTGTATTTTCTTCTGGTCCTGGTTCTTATTTGGATTTTTAGTGCAAACTAGAGCTGCACAACGAGGAACTAAACATAAAAGTTAAGTTAAGTTAAAATAATCAACATTGGCTTAGTCTTTGTTTAGTCCTGGTTCAGTCCTGGTTTTAGACCTGGTTTAGTTCTGTTTAAATCCTGGTTTAGACCTGGTTGTGTCCTGGTTCAGTCCTGTTTTAGTCCTGGTTTAGTCCTGGTTTAGTCCTGGTTTAGACCTGGTTTAGACCTGGTTTTAGTCCTAGTTTAGTCCACATTTAGACCTGGTTTAGTTCTGTTTTAATCCTGGTTCAGTCATGGTTTAGATCTGGTTTTAGTCCTAGTTTAGACCTGGTTTTAGTCCTATTTTAGTCCTGGTTTAGTCCTTGTTTAGACCTGGTTTTAGTCCTGGTTTAGTCCTGGTTTAGTCCCGGTTCAGTCCTAGTTTAGACCTGGTTTTAGTCCTAATTTAGTCCGATTTAGTCCCGGTTTAGTCCCGGTTCAGTCCTAGTTTAGTCCCAGTTTAGTCCCGCTTTAGTCCTGGTTTAGACCTGGTTTAGTCCCGGTTCAGTCCCAGTTTAGACCCAGTTTAGTCCTAGTTTAGTCCTAGTTTAGAGACCTGGTTTAGACCCGGTTTGGTCCCGGTTCGGTCCTGTTTTAGTCCTGGTTTTAGTCCTGTTTTAGTCCCGGTTCGGTCCTGTTTTAGTCCTGGTTTTAGTCCTGTTTTAGTCCCGGTTCGGTCCTGGTTTAGTCTTAGTTTAGACCTGGTTTAGTACTGGTTTAGTCCTGGCTTTAGTCTTAGTTCAGTCCCGGTTCGGTCCGGTGCTTTTCTCTCAGCGGTGTGTCGTGTCTTCACCTGCGGGAGATGAGGCGCTGTGACGCGGCTCAGGCTCAGCTCAAACCCGCGCGACTCCCGGGGCTGGTTCTCCCCGGCGGCGCGGCTCGTGTGGCGGGACGGAGGAATCACACGGCCCCGGGCGAACACCTCCTCCCACGGCCGCGCTCCTGAGGCCGGCTCCTCGGGCTTCACCATGTCTGACGCGGACAAAATCACTCAAATCACTCAAATCACTCAAATCACTCAAATCACTCGGGTTTACAGATTTTTCCTTCAGATTCTCCTCTCCTCCGTTAACACCGAATCACCCGCCGCCATTTTGAGACGGGACCGTACCAAAGCGCGGGGGGCGGCGGGTCACGAGCCACCCCCGGGAAACGAGATTAAAATGGCGAATTATTACAAATACACGGATCAGACAAAATTATAGTGTTACGTTTTTGTTTATTAAGAACTACCTGTGCATAATTTAGGTAGAAAGACAAAACTGAGATAATTTAATGCGGAGCGAATAACCCGTATTTTGGTCTCTACCGCGGAGAAGCGTTGGTTGCTATGGTAACGCTCAAACTCAGAAGCCGCAGATCCACGTGAGGAGCTCAGGGAGTTTATAATAAAGTGTCCAGACGTCCCTGTTTCTCCAGTGTTGAGTCTGTGTCCCCTGTCCCAGCAGATTTATACAAAACCACTTTTTGTCCCAGTTTTATACAAGAAATGTCCTAGGCGTCTCTGTTTTTGACCAATCAGATGCTGACAACAGTAAAGAGACACATAAACTGACATTTGGTTAGGTAAACTACAGAAAAACTGCTTATAAACGACCAAAACATAAAGAAAATGTGACTATACTGAGTCATATTAGGGCCAAGTGCAGAACAATTCTCCTTAATTACACACTCGTTTCACAATATTTATTTAATTATTTATTTATTTATTGAATTTTATTGTATTTTTGTATATATTTTTTTTTATTTAATTTAATTTTTATTTAATTTATTTATTTTTTATTTGTATTTATTTTATTTTTATTTATCTCTATTTTTGACCAATCAGATCCTGCAACAGAAAAGAGAAACATAAACTGACATTTGTTTTGGTAAAATACAGAAAAACAGCTTAAAACAGTTTTCATTCCGCACTCTTCTCTCCAATTTATGTCTCTCTTTTTTTATTTTAATCTTCATGATTATTTATGTTTTGATTTGTTTTTATTATTATTTTAATGTATTTCTTATTCTGTAAAGCACTTTGAATTACTTTGTGTACGAATTGTGCTGTACAAATAAACTTGCCTTGCCTTAAAAACAACCAAAACATAAAGAAAATGTGACTATACTGAGTCACATTAGGGCCAAGTGCAGAACAATTCTCCTTAATTACACACTCGTTTCACAATATTTATTTATTTATTTATTTATTTATTAGTTTGTTTGTTTATTGTATTTTATTTTATTGTAATTTTTTATATATTTTTAATTTAATTTAATTATTTTTTTTTTATTTTTTATTTGTATTTATTTATTTATTTATTTAGTTGTATTTATAAAATTTTTATTTATCTCTATTTTTGACCAATCTGACACCTGCCAACAGTAAAAAGAGATGTAAACTGACATTTGTTTCGGTAAAATACATAAAATCTGCTTAAAAAACGACCAAAACACAAAGAAAATGTGACTGTATTGACTCAGATGTTCATCATGAACGGGCTGAGTGCAAAACAGTTTTCATTAATTACTCACTCGTTTCACAGTTTTATTATCACCAACTACCACCAAACCAAAGGTGTCCCAGTTTTTACTTTAAAAAATCTGCTCATATAGTTTATAAAATGGTTAAGTGTAATGAGGCAGGTTCATTTATTTCCATAAAGAGTAAAAGAGAGAGAGCACAGTGGTTGGTCTCTCACCCTCATCCAGCTCAGGTCGTCTACCAGACGCCTGGGAGTCTACATTCTCATACTTTACTTATTTCAATAGTCCCTCTAGTTTCTGAATAAGAGACATTTGAATGTCAAAGATCTGTTTCCCTCCGTTAACACTTGACCAGACACAAATTTGACTTCACACTCGGGTTTCCAGCGCTGGACGGTTCTGCGTCACATCCCACAGATGCAGGTCGATTTAAAGGCCCAATGAAAGATAAAAAACCCAGACATTTCCATCACTTAAAAAAAAAAAAAGTGTTTCTTCAGCTTCCACGGTGGTTGGTCTCTCCCCCTCATCCAGCTCAGGTCGTCTACCAGACGCCTGGGAGTCTGACAGTTCTGCGCCGTATCTTTGCTGTTCCAGTTCTGCACTTTTCTGGACTTTTCTTGTATCTGCTGTCGTCTCTTCCAGTTTGGGGGTCACAGCCCCGAGTGTCTGATCACCACAGGCTCCACTGATGCCTTCACCTTCCAGACCTTCTCCAGCTCCTCCTTGAGCTCCTGGTGTTTCTCTAGTTTCTCATGTTCCTTTTTCCTGATGTTTCCATCTCTTGGTGTTGTGATGTTCCACCACCACGGCTCTGCTCTGTTTCTTCTCCAGCTCCACTATGTCTGGTTGGTCCATCTCCATCCTGTCAGTCTGTACCTGAAGTCCCACAGGATCTTGGCTCAGTCGTTCTCCACAACCTCTGGAGGTGTTTCCCACCTTGATCCTGGGTTCTCCAGCTCGTACTCTGCTCAGATGTTTCTGTACACTCTGTCTCCTCTTGGTTTTGTGGCTCCATGTTTGTTTCCCTGCAGCATCTGACACCTGCAGTTCTGTGCTGGACTGTCTCAGGAGCCTCTGTGCACAGTTTACACCGTTTCTACGCAGAACTCACAGACTCCCAGGCCTCTGGTAGAGGAGCTGAGCTGAATGAGGGTGAGAGACCAACCACCATGGAAGGTGAGAAACACATTTATATATTCATCAGCTGGTTTATTCGTCTGACTTCGTTATCTCGTGTGTATCTCTTTAGGCGGCTGGCCAAGGCTTGGAGCCTTTGTTTGGCAGGTTCGAGTGCTTCAGGTCGGGCATCTGGTTCTACCTCTTGGGTACTTGCTTTTTTTATTGCACCTTTCTGGGCCTCTGACAGTTGGTTCACTTCTCTCCGTGCCTCCTTGATTTTAGCCTCTAACCGTCTTTTCCATGGTGGGTGTCGTATCTCATGGCTCCATGGCTCTTACAGCCCAGCACCTCTAGGATCACTGCTGCTGAAGTGTAGATCAGCTCACTGGTTTCAGTGATGGTTGTGGTTGGATCAGTGCTGTATTCACATCGTCTAGACCAGAGGTGTCAAACTCATTTTGTTCCGGGGGCCGTATCCAACCTACTTTGATCCAAAGTGTCCGGATCAGAAAACTCATGTCATATAAACCCCAAAAATAACAATAAGTTCAAATATTTGTGCAGAGAAACACAAATCTATTACAGAAATCTTTTTGAATTGATGAACTCTTTCTTTTACAAAATATTATAATATTATGAACAACCTGAAACTTAAAAAAAAATACAATTTCAACACAATGTTTTAACATGAACTTGTCTGTAAACAGGAAAAACTCAGTTTTTGTTGTAAAATCCTGCACTCGGCTCCACTTTTCTCATGTTGGACATTTTTCTGATGAGGGTCACGGTCAACAGTCAAAACGATCGTCCTTTAAGAGCGTTTGGAAAGAGACAAGTCTTCATTTGTGCTGCTCTGGTGGGAGGGGCCACGTACAGAGACGCTGGAGATGCTGCTGTGCTCAGGAAATTTACAATATTTTAATAGAAAATATAATTAAAATATTTTATCAGAAAATCAGCCAAGGGCCACATTAAAGGTCTTGGAGGGCCGCATCCGGCCCTCGGGCCTTATGTTTGACACCTGTGATCTAGGAGACTTTCAGATGGTACTTCACTTAGCCTCTGTAACTGGCATCGGGGTATGTATATGTATATATATATATATATATATATATATATATATATATATATATATATATATATATATATATATATATATATATATATATATATATATATATATATATATATATATATATATGTGTGTTGTATTGTGTTGTGTTGTTGTGTTGCACTGTTCACTGGTGGACGAGTTAATGTTGAGGACAGATTTCCCTGCGGGGACAGTAAAGTGAACAGTGAACATTACGTCCAGTGAAAGCTTCATATTTCACTCCTTTATAATAACACTGTGAGTGTTGTTTGCAGACGTCCCCAGAGCCTCATCGCCCACAAACACGTCCTGCACTCAAACACCTTTTACACTCACAATAAAACCAGCATCTGCATGAATTTACTTTATTAGTTTTATGTATTAATATTTCCACACACGTCGTTCAACACTAGAGAAGATTAACCACAAACAACAACTGATGTGACCCACAGACTGAGTTTGATGTGAAAACAAACAACACCGAGGAAACCAGGAAACCCACATGTGGCTCATTCACCGAGACTGAAACAAACACGAGCTCAGGCTGAATCTGAAACACGAGAACAGCGTCTCCACGACTCAAAGTGTTCGTTTTATTGTGTGATGTGTTGAATGAGTTTCTCGTCTTGTCAGAAATGTTATTTTCCTCTCTGCAGCGTTCGACTTCTGTTCACAGTGACAGGTGTTCCCCAGGTGAGAGTCTGAGTGGAGCTGATGTATGAAACTGACTCCACAGAACCACAGAAACACGAGAACGAACAAACACAACTGCAGATATTTGTAGTTTTTAACAACAAACGACACTAAAACAGACTTCAAATCCCAAAAAGCTTGATGGGTGAGCAGAATTTCAAAATAAAAAACTGGGATATCCTCGTTTTTTTTGGTGGTTGGTAATAATTTTTCACCAAAAGTTTTCCTCAGTGGACAAACTGAATTAAGAGTGAACCATGTGAATTAAATACAAGAAACCCACCGAAAGAGCTGCTCCACCTTTATAGAAAACCAGATTTACACAAGAAATGTTCCAGGTGTCTCTATTTCTGACCAATCTGACCCTGACAACAGTAAAGAGAAACATAAACTGATATTTGTTTCAGTAAAATACAGAAAAGCTGCTTAAAAACGATCAAAACACACACACCAAAAATGTGAATATACTGACTCACGTTAGGGTCAAGTGCAGAACAATTCTAATTAATTTCGCACTCGTTTCATAATTATTTATTTATTTAGTTAGTTATATATGTATTTAATTTGTTAGTTATTTAGTTATTTATTTATGTATGCATTTATTTGCTTATTTATTTATTTAGTTAGTTAGTTAATTAGTTAGTTATTTTGTTATTTATTTTGTTATGTATATTTATTTGTGTAGTTATATATTTAGTTATTTTGTTATTTATTTAGTTAGTTAGTTATGTATGTATTTAATTTGTTATTTATTTATTTAGTTATTTTTTATTTAGTTAGTTAGTTATATATGTATTTAATTTGTTAGTTATTTAGTTATTTATTTATTTATGTATGCATTTATTTGCTTATTTATTTATTTGTGTATTTATTTATTTAGTTAGTTAGTTAATTAGTTAGTTATTTTGTTATTTATTTTGTTATGTATATTTATTTGTGTAGTTATATATTTAGTTATTTTGTTATTTATTTAGTTAGTTAGTTATGTATGTATTTAATTTGTTATTTATTTATTTATTTGTGTATTTATTTAGTTAGTTTATTATTTTGTTAGTTAGTTATTTTGTTAGTTATTTATTTAGTTAGTTTGTTAGTTAGTTATTTTCTTATATTTATTTATTTAGTTATGTATTTATGTATTTAGTTATTTATTTATTTATTTTAGTTAGTTATTGTTATACATGTATTTATTTTGTTATTTATTTATTTATTTATTTAGTTAGTTATATATTTATTTATTTAGTTAGTTAGTTATACATTTATTTATTTATTTATTTAGTTAGTTAGTTATACATTTATTTATTTATTTAGTTATGTATTTATGTATTTAGTTATTTATTTATTTAGTTAGTTATATGTGTATTTAATTTGTTAGTTATTTAGTTATTTATTTATTTATGTATGCCTTTATTTGCTTATTTATTTATTTGTGTATTTATTTATTTAGTTAGTTAGTTAATTAGTTAGTTATTTTGTTATTTATTTTGTTATGTATATTTATTTGTGTAGTTATATATTTAGTTATTTTGTTATTTAGTTAGTTAGTTAGTTAGTTATGTATGTATTTAATTTGTTATTTATTTATTTAGTTATTTATTTATTTATTTAGTTAGTTATATATGTATTTAATTTGTTAGTTATTTATTTATTTATGTATGCATTTATTTGCTTATTTATTTATTTGTGTATTTATTTATTTAGTTAGTTAATTAGTTAGTTATTTTGTTATTTATTTTGTTATGTATATTTATTTTGTGTAGTTATATATTTAGTTATTTTGTTATTTATTTAGTTAGTTATGTATGTATTTAATTTGTTATTTATTTATTTATTTGTGTATTTATTTAGTTAGTTTATTATTTTGTTAGTTAGTTATTTTGTTAGTTATTTATTTAGTTAGTTTGTTAGTTAGTTATTTTCTTATATTTATTTATTTAGTTATGTATTTATGTATTTAGTTATTTATTTATTTAGTTAGTTATTTAGTTATACATGTATTTATTTTGTTATTTATTTATTTATTTATGTATTTATTTTTATTTAGTTAGTTAGTTAGTTAGTTAGTTTAGTTTACATTTATTTATTTATTTAGTTAGTTAGTTAGTTAGTTATACATTTATTTATTTAGTTATGTATTTATGTATTTAGTTATTTATTTATTTATTTTGTTATTTATTTTGTTATTTATTTTGTTATTTATTTATTTTGTTATTTAGTTATGTATTTATGTATGTATGTATTTATTTATTTAGTTAGTTAGTTATACATTTATTTAGTTAGTTAGTTAGTTAGTTAGTTAGTTAGTTAGTTAGTTAGTTGTTAGTTAGTTAGTTAGTTAGTTAGTTAGTTAGTTATCACCAACTTCCACAAACCAGGGACGTGCCAGTGTTTTATTTTGAAAATCCCTTTAGTATAAACTGTTCGTCGCGCTGCTCCGGGCCTCCACTCGGGGGCGGTAGTGCTTCATTTCAGTCCCAAAAACAAGAAGAGGAAGACGGAGAAGTTTCAAACCAAAACCACGTGACCAAAACAGGCGGACCGGGTCGGTGTTCGGCTCGGAAATGTTCGGGCTGTTCGGGAAAACCAAAGCGGTGAAAGTCCGCGGCGTGAGCGACAGCCGGAAGTACGGGGTGGCCGCGCGGAACCTGAAGGACCTGACGCGGAAAGCCTGCCAGTACCTCCAGGTCAGACACACGAGTCACCACCGGGTCCTCGGTTCTTCCGCCGTTTCCGCAGTTTGCGCTGTTTTCTCCGAGTTCGGTCCTTCAGACTCCGCGCGTAATTACGCACGGCACAGGGACGGAACCCGCTTTTACGCGCCGTGATAAATCTGAACCACGGATTTGTTTAGTTTGTTTTTTGGTTTCCCGTTAATTGTCCAGTGTCCAGACGTCCCTGTTTCCCCGGGAAAGTCCCAGTTTTGAGTCTTTGTCCCCCTGTCCTGGCAGATTTGTCCCAGTTTATACAAGAAATGTCCCAGGTGTCTCTATTTTTGACCAATTTGATCTGAACGAGGACTAAAACCAAGACTAAAACAGGATTTAATCAGGACTAAACCAGGACTAAAAGCAGGACTAAACCAGGTCTAAACCAGGACTAAACCAGGTCTAAACCAGGACTAAAATGGGACTAAAAGCAGGACTAAACCAGGTCTAAAACCAGGGCTAAACCAGTCCTAAACCAGGTCTAAACCCAGAACTAAACCAGGACTAAACCAGGTCTTAAACCAGGACTAAACCAGGTCTAAACCAAGACTAAAACCAGTCCTAAACCAGTCCTAAACCAGGACTAAACCAGGACTAAACCAGGTCTAAACCAAGACTAAACCAGGTCTAAACCAAGACTAAAACCAGTCCTAAACCAGGACTAAACCAGGACTAAACCAGGTCTAAACCAGGTCTAAACCAGGACTAAAACAGGACTATCACAATTTTTGACTAATCTGATCCTGTCATCAGTAAAGAGGAGCATAAATTGCCATTTGTTTTGCCAAAATACAGAAAACCATGTTTGAAAATGACCATAAAGTATAAAAAAAAAAAAAAAAAAGTGCAGTAATTTAGTTTGTTCAGTAATTTAATGTTTTGTCCTTCAAATTACATTCACTTTAAATTATAAATCTGTAATTTATAATTTTGTGCACTGCACTTGCACACTTTTACTTGAGCGTTACTCCCACTTAAACAAACTTTACTGATGCACATGGGAAATTATTGGGACACAGACGCTCACACATCACAAAATAATATAATAACAAAGTGTGTGTGTGTGTGTTTTGTGCAGGTGCCCGTGTCCGGTGCCCGTCTGTGCCTCTCGTCTGATGGGACCCTGGTCACAGACGAGTCCTTCGGGTCGCTGCCAGATCACTGTGACCTGGTGCTGCTGACCCGGGACCAGAGCTGGAAGGGAGGTAAGAGACGTGCACGTTATTCAAATCCAGACTAAAAAAAAACAAAAAAAAAACATTTATTTAACTTAGCCTTCCCCCATTTATGTCCTGTACTGTTTGTTTTAAAGGTTGGTATG